TTGGAAATAAGCTGGGCTTGGGAGAAATGTAGAGGTCCCTGACGACATCTTCCCAAGCAAGGATGTTTATCTGTGGAGCATCTGAACTCAAGGCAGTAACTAATAATCCAGCTACATCTTCCCTGGAAACCAACACTCTTTAAGAAATGCCAAATCGGTGGGGAGGGTATAGCTCAGTGGTAGAGTGCGTGCTTAGCACACACGAGGTCCTGGGTTCAATCCCCAGTACTTTAATTAAATAAATAAATAAAATCTAATTACCCTCCCCCCCAAAAAATTAAAAAATAAGTTTAAAAAAAAAGTTTCAAAGAAAAGTTTCAAAGAAAAAAAATGTTTAAAAGAAAAAAATTAAAAAATAAGTTTAAAAAAAGTTTAAAAGAATTCAGGGGGAGGGTACCCCCCTCAAAAAAAAACCCCTAAAAAAAACCAGAACAAAAATGCCAAATCATATACCTTCCTGAAGATCAATCACTTATTGGAGGCTAAAAAATAGAGGCCACAGGAGACAGACCTGTCCATGACCTGACATCATCCCAGGAGCAAATTCAGTATCTCTCTCTATAAGAAAAATGTCCACATTTTAGAGGGATGTTTTTAGTGGGCACAAGAAAGGGGGAGTTTTATGTAAAAAGAAAAGGATTTGCATCAGCCCCCAGAATTCCCAGAGCTTTCCCTTACCCGACAGTGTTCAAATGTTCTGTGGGAACTGGCTTTATTTTGTATCATGGTATCTCAGCCGTTCCTAGGTTCACCGTTAGGCTGTGTTTCACTCTATTCCACAGAGGCATTCAGTGCCTGCTGTGGTCAAGAGCTGGGGTGAGAGTCGTGGGGACATTAGGAGTCTGGCCCTTCTGGCACAGAAGTGCCAGTGTGGGTGGGAGATCTGCAGTCCAGATAAACAGTGCAGAGGGTCACATGGTGACAAGTGCTTTGGAAGCAAACCGAAGCAGGCTGTTATGGACTGCGTGTTTCTGTTCCCCCTGAAATCCCCAAGTTGAAACCCTAGTGGAGGTGGAACTTGGAGGGGGTGATTAGGTCATGAGAGTGGAGCCCCCATGAAAGAGATTAGTGCCCTTTTATGAAAAGGCCAGAGAGCTAGCTCACTCTGTCCATAATGTGAGGACATGACATAAAGGATGCTGTCTACAACCCAGAAAAGGGCCCTCAGCAGAACCTTGGCAGCCACACTGGCAACCATGATGTGGACTTCCCGCACCAGAACTGTGAGACATGACTGTCGGTTGCTGATAGGTCACCAGTTTATGGTATTTTGTTGCAGCAGCCAGAGCTAAGATACAAGGTGAAGAGTAGAGTGGGCTGGGGAGGGCGGGGCTTGGGACAGCACATAGGAACTCAGAAAGACCTCAGTGGAAAGGTGGTCTCTAGGAAGAGGAAGGAAGAAGTGGGAGAGAAATCCAGTGGTTCTTGGGAAAACAGCCTTCCAGACAAGGGAGCAAGTGCAAAGGTCCTGAGGCAGGTGTGCCTTGAGAGATGTGTCAGGACATCATGGAGGGGATGCAGGGGTCAGGCAGGCAGGGAGTCAAAAGCCACTTCAAGGACTTCAGCTCATATGCCATCAATGGAGACAGGGTCCCGGGGTGTGGGGGATCTGAGCCAAGGAGGATCAAGGCTTAAACTTCACCTTCTCTTACTAGGACCACACTATCTGCTACACTGAGAACAGACACCACCGGGGCAGGTAAGGGCTGCCCCAGGAAGCCTGGCTAGGAGGCTCTGTAATCACACAGGTAAGAAATGATCCTGCTTTGACTAGGGTGGAAGCCATAGGGTGGATGCACAGTGGTTAGTTCCTGGGTCAATTTTGAAGGTAGGGCTTCCAGAATTTGCTGCTCGATCAGATGCAAATGTGAAAGATAAAAGTTATGGGTGACTCTGAGGCTTTCAGTCTGAGCAAACAGAACCATTTATTTATTTATTCGGATGGAGAAGCCTGTGGAAGGGGCACAGGTGAAAGCGTGAGGAGGGGTGGTTTGTAGCACAGTGGTTTTAAGAGTATTAAACATCCACGTGGAGACCCCGGAGAGGCAGTCAGGCTGGTGCCGTTGAACCACAGACGTTGCTGCAAACCAGAAGACTGGGTCCTCCAACTTCTGGGATGATGACTTGCAGGAAAGATATAAAGGCACAGCAGAAGGGACTCAGGAGTCACCAGTGAGTCAGCAGGAAACTCTAACAGAGAGATATCCTGATACTAAGTGAGGAAGAATTTCAAGGAAGGGCTCCACCCAATGCTCCTGAGAAGGAAGGTAAAGGGGGAAAATCAATTACTGGAAAAACCAGAACAAGAGGCATTCCACCCAAAGAGGGGTGAGGGTAAGTAGGGCGGGTATTGGCAGATAAGGGACACTAGATTATCATCCTGGTGATGCTGCAGTTCTGCTCCTGACTGCAGGGGGCACTGCAGAGCTGAAGGCATTCCTGGTAATTGATGGACTGATAGCCTTAGGGTCTGTGCATTGCATTGTATGCAAATAATTTTTACCTTGGGGGAAAAAAAGTTAAAAAAAAACCCTCTGAACTCTAAGATCGACATGAAATATGTGGGTGAAAGTGCACCGACACCCACTATTCTACTTTGAACTGCATTGATTAAAAAATAAACTAGATGACTGAAACATTATGCTGTACACCAGGAAATGATGCACTGTAGCTGACTGTACTTCAATAAAGTTTTAAAATGCTACCATAAACAAACAAACAAACAAACAAACCAGATGGAGAGAAGGCCAGATAGGGAATAAAGAAAGTAGAGTAAAATGCTAATGAGAGAAACCAGGAGGCAGGTACAGGAATGCTCACTATAAATTCAACTTTTTGGTATATTTGAAAATGCTCATCAAAAATTCGGGGAAAAGTATTATTCATAATATTTAGCAACTTGGAGGTTTGTGATTTGCTCAGACAAAGCCAGATAAAGGTGAATTTAAGTGAAAAGCATGGGGTGGGGGGACACTGCTCAGAGGACCCTTTCTGCAAAGGTGAGAGGAAACCAGGGAGTCACAGGGTGGGGGCAGGTTTGTGAGGACAGACTGCCTGTCTGCTCACGAGAATTACCCACAGACATGAAGATGGTGCTCAAGGCAACAGGAACAGTTGTGAAAGACCAGCTCTCAGCCTGGCACCTGGGGAACGCAGATCCTGCACCCCTGACAAAAGGAGGGAAGCCGGAGTAGGTGGGCACAGGTGTGGAGATGCACGGAAGAATGTTGCTTTAAATCCTGCAGGGAAACTCTCAAAGATGTCTACTTCATTCATTACAGGGAGATTCTGCAAGGGGTCCCAGGCGTAGCTAAGCATACCTCTGTGACACAGAGCAGATGGTGTTACATAAATTCGTTTTCTCATGCCCCTCAACTTCCACCTGTATTCCAGCTAAAACTCACCTGCCCAAGAACTGCCTGGGAGCATCCTTTGCCTCTACGTTTAAGACTCTCCCTCCCATTTCACCAAGAAAGACTTGTTTGCTTTATCTTAACTCTTATCTTGGGACACTGACCTAAGAGCCAAGATAAGGCCAATTCAAAATACCAACTGTCTATGTCAATATTGTTAAAACTTTGGTGACAAATATTTTCACAGATCAGATGGGTTCTAATCCCTTTAATTATTTGCTTGCAGCAAAAGTGAACGAGAAACCAAGTTGGCAGCTGAAACACCTTGATGGAAACTGTAATATCTGGCATGTAACTGGGAAGAAGTTCAAGGAACTGACTGGTATCACTGTCACAAAGTGCTTTTCATTCTAAACTATACATGTTACTACATCTATTTTTAAAGGTTATAGAATTGATGGTTAAATATGTGTCAATGTCTCCATTTTAGCAATAAAAATAATCATCTATGAATACATAAATGAATTTAAAGACAAAGTCCCATCTCCGGTAGAAAGGTAGATTTCCAATTTTTAATATTTATTATTTATTTAAACCTTGTAATGAGTGTCACTTTGATGAATTATGTACCAATAATCACTGTAATCCTCAATCAATCCAGGAGAAAAATACTTAACGCTTACTTCCTGAAGGAATGATTTTTATGTAAATATTTACATTTGAGAGAATTAAGACAGAATGATTAACAAAAGACTTTCAAACATCAAGTTACATCACATTAGGATAGAATTCTGTGTGGACTGTAGAATAGAAATATAAGTGCAGAGAGAAAAAGGGACTATGTAAACTATCCAACAGTTAAAGAAAGACTTGTTTGTATTTTTTTAATTAATGATATGGGCATTAAATTATATGACATTTAAATAGATTCAATTTAAAATAGAGACTGACTTTTATTTTTAAATGTCAGTATTTACACTTGGATGGAAGTGACATAAGCCACAGTTAATTAAATTTGGGTTAGACCTTTAGATGTCAAGACAAAAATACATGAATGCAAAAGCAGAGTATCTCAGAATTCTTGCAGGGGTCACTGGAGCAGGACATGTGAGGTACCTCTGGCTGAGGTAATGCTCTGTTGAATCAAACACGCACGTCTGGTGGGGAGGGTATAGCTCAGTGGTAGAGCACATGTTTAGCATGCATGAGGTCCTGGGCTCAATTCCCAGTACCTCCATTAAAAAAACAATTAAATGAATAAACCTAATTATGTCTCGCCGAAAAGCAAACAAGCATGCATGTCTGGAGGCAGGAAGTGCGAGGCAGGTGCTCTGAGCTCCAGGGACCAGTGACAGTGCTGTCTGTGGACATGAACATGCATCTTAGGACTTGTCATGTATATTTCTGCTTTTGAAATCTCCCCAGGTCACCCCATAGTGAGATGTGAGCATGCACTGAGCCTTGCAGAATGCAGCATGGTACATGCAAAGGCGGGACGCTCTGCCTCATTGTTGGCTTGTGTGGAGTCAGGGAGGACAGTCCTGGCTCCTCTCACAGGACGCCTCAGCCCCCTGAGATTCCAGCACAGGCATCTCAAAGTCAGAGCAGGAAGATCCACGGGTGGGGACTGCCGCCATCTCAACTTACCATTTGCAGCCAAATGTTGGTTGTTAAAACTTGGTTTTTCTCATCCTTTAAAGTAAAAAAAAAGAGAATAAAAAAATATGTTTGTATGGTGTACAGAAGAGGAAATGATATCATTATTCACGTACGAATCAGACTGTTGGGACTGTGGGGAGTGTGTGGAAATTAGAATGCACCAAGCACTTCCAAATGTACTCAAGAAGCCTTTCCCCAGAGTGAAGCTTTTCTATTTATTTTGAAGTAACACGCATTCATTATAGAGCACTTTGAAAAGATGGAAAAGCATAGAGAGGAAAATTAAAACCCTGCAGCCCCACCCTCCAGAGATGACACTTGTTAATGGTTTCAACTGTTTTATTTTACACTGTAAGAAATACTTTGTATAAAATTTTAAAACTTTAATACAAATTTTAATTTATAATTTAATATAAATTTTTAATAGTTTTGAATTGGATGATTTGGACCATGGAGTATGTGGAAATTAGAATGCACCAGGCACTTCCAAATATACTCAAGAAGGCTTTCCCCAGAGTGAAGCTTTTCTATTTATTCTAAAGCAACACACATTCATGATAGAGCACTTAGAAAGGATGGAAAAGCACGGAGAGGAAAATCAAAACCCCGCAGCCCCACCCCCCAGAGATGACATCTGCTAATGGTTTAGCTTATTTCCCTTTATACATTTTTAGCAATTTATATAAAATTAAAATTTGTGATATAAATTTTAATTTATAACAATAGAAAATTTTAACAACTTACATAAAGTTATAAAACTGTTAAAAAAAACAAAACTTAGTGCAAAGGCCAATTTTTGAAAGTCAAGTTTATTGCCAGCATGTATAGAGTTCTAAGCAAATGTAAGTATTTTATGCTTCCCTCCCTGGGAAAAGGAGCCTGACCTGTGACAGCTGCCATGCCATGTGCCAACTGGGCTGCATGGACCCCATTTCCCACAAGCCCTGTGGGTCTGCCTGCCTTTCCTTCCAGATTCCATCCACTGGGCAGCATGCCAGCCTGTGACACCCACCTGCAAGATACATCCTGTCCAGGTGAGCCAACTAAGGGTCAGAAAGGTGAGGTAACTTTAGGAAGGAGCCACTGACACTTGGACCTGACTGGAGAGCCCCCTTTGCCTATTTCCAAACTAAGTGTGGGCTCCTGCAGGACACCAACTATGCAAGCTATCCAGGCAGCTCGGGAGACGTACTGACTGTGGCCTTGACCCAACACCAGGCACCTAAACAAGATGCTGGTCAACATCGAGCCTTTCCGACTGGGATGCCACCAGCTTTTTATCATGGCTGGCAAAGGCCACAACGGCCCAGCAAAAGCCAGGGTGTGCACGGAGACAGAGGAGCAGGTTTCTTGTGACTGTTCTACTGAGAACACAGTTACTCAGTATTCTGTGTTCAATTCCCACCTAAAAGACGTTGTAAAATTAGCACTTTCCACCTTTTCCAGGAGAAAGCACTTATTAATGACCCCATGCCGAGATGCCCAGTGGCTGAGGCCACCCTGAGCTCCTCCAACAGGAATTGCCTGTCCTGGTTCACTGGTGGCATTCGCAAAAACAGAGCCAGCAGCAAAAAGAACACCATCTGTGGGGGTGTGGTCATGTGCAGGGATGCAAATGAGACACCAAGGCCACTTCTCATTAAAATAAAAAGGTGCTGAACGTGTATGGAGTTGGCGGAGATTCTCTGATGCATCAGTGCCCCTACCCCGCAGATCACCCTAGGCACGTCTGAGAGGTGAGACTGGGTGGCAGGAAAGTGCAAGTGTAAATCCTGTAGAGAGGATCAGGCTGCCTAGGAAAAGACAGGGCTGGGTGGGTCCCAGGCCAGGGGCTGTGTCCAGAAGAAGCTGCCAATTCAGTTACAGGAAATGTATATCCCATTTCACAAAATAACACATGCCAGGGGTTTTGGAAGAAAAAGTCTTGGAGCCAACCTTTCTCCGTACTGTGCGCAGGGCGAGCAGTCCCCGACAGAGCGTGCATTTGACTGCATGAGTGCTCAGTTCCAGTCCAATCTACAGCGTTATTCGAAAGCACTGATAAACTCTTTCAGGACATATGTCCCCTGCTTCAACTTATTAAGGAGCTGTTGTTTTTAATGGACTTAAAATTAGCCAGCATTCCATTCAGGAGGCTTCCCTTCTCTGAATGGCATCCACATCTTTATCTTCCGAGAGAAAGGCTTCTGTGGTTTGGGAGCTCAATGACGACCAATCTAATTAAAAGGCTTTCTTCCTTCCAACATGCTGGCTGAAACCTCATTAGTGTGAAACGGGATTTCTGTGCTGTGCAGCAGCATGGGGCTGAGCAGGGCATTTCAAACTGTAATTAACATAGAACAGCAACCAGCCTCCACCAGAAGGTGCAGCAGTGGAGAGCCTCCACCAGCAGAGAGACTGCTGTCTGTGTCCCCAAGATGGGACCCCCTCCATCTCAGTCTGTGCAGTGACTGGCTCCCCTGGCTCCTTCCCACCCCTGTGTGAGGTATGTGTCCCAAAACCCCCAAACCCCCCACAACCCCCAAAGACTGAATGTGAAACCTACCCCCACTGTGATGGTGTAAGGGGGTGGGGCTTTTGGACCCTGTTTAGGTCATGAAGGTGGGCTCACTCTCAGGACCAGGACCACCCAGAGAGCTCCCCACCCCTTTTGCCTCATGAAGCCCCAGCTAGAAGTCTATGACCTGGGAAGCTGGCTCTCACCAGGCATCAGATCTGCAGGCACCTTGGTCTGGGATTCCCCAGCCTCCAGAACTGTGAAACATAAATGGGTGTTGTTAAGCTCCCAGGTCCGGGGTACTTTTGTCACAGCAGCCATGCTCATGGGAGGCAGAGCCCCCACACTGTCTGACCTCCAGATGGGCTCCCTGCCCTCGTCTGTCTGGCTGCACTGATGGAAGAATCCATTCTAAGTCCTGCAGACAGCACAAAGCCCCTTCACAAGCCCTGGTCCAGCCAAGTGTGCATTCATTCATTCATTCATTCGACAAGTATTTGTGGAGCTCATCCTGTGTCAGGCATCACGCCAGTGGGAACATAAAGTGTGGGTGGAGGGTGGGATTTCACAGTTCAACAATGACACACCTCTAATTACATATAGTGACAAGGCACAGAGGAAAGGGCAGTTCACTTTCAGACAGGATGACAGGGACGTGGACTTTACCAGAGTATCAAGGGTGGGGCCCTGAGGTCGAGACTTTACCTTGACTCCCTGTGACCTGTGACCTGTGACAACAAAAGCCAGGACAACCTCCCGCCCACTGTGTGTGCCCCTTACTCTTCAAGAATTTGCTGCTCCTTGACTCCTGGGGCCTGCTCTGCCCAACGCCTTCCTCCTCCCTCCTACGCAAGTCCAGGGACTCCTGGAGCAGCAAGGGGAAGCACTGGGGAGGCTGTTTAACCCAGCGGGGAGCCTTCCTGCCCTTTGTCCAGCTGCTTCAGAAGGAACCAAGCAACTGTTTCTGGGGCTGTAAGTACAGAGGATGGCTTACAACCCCAGCCTCCAAGGATGCGGCCAGGGGACCAGGGCTGGCACGGTCTGCACAGCTAGGTCTCCCCCACACCCCACAACCATAGTGCCTTGCGTCCTGAGTCCGCTGCAGGATTTCACCTCTACCTTCAACTGCCCTGCCCCAGGGTCTGCACATCCTGCATACACTGAAGTCAGGTGGCAACCTGGGAACTGGGACAAGTTGGCAGGTGCATCTGCAGCTCTGGAAGGCCCTTCAGCCTCAGGCATGCCGGCTCCACTCCCACTGCCCAGAATCTTCTTTGCAGCAAATCAGTTCCTCCCCCCACCTCGCCGAGGGAAGCCTTCTCTTCTCTCACTTGTTCCTCCCCCACCGACACCTCAGCCACCAGCTTCCCCTGTGGCACTTGAGCTTGTCTGAAACCATGAATCAGCCAGTTAAGCTGAAGTCAGCAGTTCCATCCCACACAGGCTGCAGGCACATTGGTCCCACGCTGGGCATTCCAACCCTGACCCCAGACCCCGGCCCAGGGTCTCTGCATAATAACCAGGCATAAGTCCCTGGAGAACAAAGAGCACAGAAGCTGGGCTGGGTTCCAGAGATTCTGGACCCCCAGCAGTCACCTGCAGGTAGGCACAGGGGAGCAGAGCCCACACCCGCCAGGGGAAAACCCTCCTTCCATCCGGGTTCCAATCAGCTCTGGCATTCACTGTATGTGGGTTTCAATATTCTCTTCTGGGAAGTGGGGACAGAACAGCTACCCTACTACCTACCAGTGTGGGGGGCACGAGGGCAGCGGGGGGACCCAGCTGCAGTGGCTGTCCCTGTGTGGTCACTTGCGTGCACACGCACACACACACATGCACACGGCTCCCCTCCAAGACTCACGCTCCTTCCCGACCCTGGGATATCACGGGAGGACACAGGACCCAGGCTGCCATGGAATCACACCAGACCAGTGCACAGAGCACCCCTAAAACCAACCGCTCCTTTGTTTTCAATCTGAGCACCTCAGAATAGCATTCAGCCTCAAAACAGAAGGCAATCCTGCTGTTTGCGACAGCATGCAAAGTGAAAGAAACCAGACTCAGAAAGACAGCTACTACATGATTCCACCTGCATGAAGATGCTAAAATAATCAAACCCACAGAAGCACAGAGCAGAACGGGGGCTGCCTGGTGCCACGGGCCCAGGACGGGATGGGCGGTTTTAGTCCACGAATGCAAAGTCTCAGTTCTGCAAGATGACAAGCCTGGAACCTCCCGTGCGGCATCGCTAATAAGCCTCTGTGGGAGAATTGACAGTGGCAAAGAGGGTAGATCCTCTGTTAGGTGTTCTTATCCCAGAAATAATATCTGTAATAATAAAGAAAGAAAGATTGCAGGAGGACCCTTGAGGAGGGGATGGCTGGGGATGGCGTGGATCGTGGTGAGAATTTCACGGGTGTGTGCTCACCTCCTAAGTCGTCAGACTGTGCACAGGAAATCTGGACAGCTTTTTGTATGTCAATCATCCCTCAAAAGAGTGCTTTTTTTAAAGTACACTTTGATTTCAGTAGTCATG